GGGCTTCGTAAGAAGTTGTGGTTAGGGTTGCCGCTGGGGCTTAGCTCTGGGGGGGCTGCGGTTGGGTTTAGGCATGGTGCTGGAGCTGGGGTTGGGGTTTGCATTGGGGTTGCGGTTGGTTTAGGGCTGGATGATGTAGCCGGACAGCATGCAGGGAAACGTCCGGGACTTTGCGGGCAGCAAGGGAGCACCCTCCAGGGTGGAGGGGCAGCGAGGCTGCTGGCAGGGTGTCCAAGCCACCGGTTGCCTCTGCCCACGCTGTAGCCCCATGGCACCTCAGATGTCGGTGTGTGCACTGCAGAAAAGCACCAATGTAGCAGAGTATTTAAGCCTTTTTTTTGAAAGGAAATAGAGTAGTCCATACATGAGTATGTACAGATACAGTTTTGCTTTCTTTGAGAACAGCTGACTTTACATTTTCAGATACGGAAAGTCACGCTTGCTTAGGAGATTGCTGCAGTACTGATGGCCATTTTCTAGGTAAGCAACAATTTTGGCATGCAAAAATACATGATTCATCCCAGAATGTTGGATTGTCAAGCCTTTGATATAGCTTTTTCAATTTAGATAAGAAAAATGTCTGGTTTATTGCTGCCTTGTCAAAAAGTACTTATGCAGGTACACAAAAGGTGACTTTATGTAGCTGTATGTATATAAATAGCTTACATTTTGGGAAAATAGGTATTAAAGTTCAACTGTAAAGTTACGTTAAGCACACCACTGTAATATAGCACACTATGTATACGGTATTTTACAAGTAGATAATAGAAATGTATTTTTGTTTCTTTTTTCTGCAACTTCACTTGCCAGGAGTTTAAACTAATGCAAGGTGAAAATCAAAAAGAAAATTTCAGCTTAGTTTTGAATTGTTTGTGAAATTTGAAAAATGGAGGTTGCACTTTAGTTTCTTCTGTTAGTTTTTTAAGAAAGGTTATAAGACTAAAAATGAAAGATGAAATAGTCCTTTTATGGTCTCGGGAAAATGAAGGATAACCATATCTAAGGCATATGAATATTGCAATGGCAAATACTGCAACAATAAATACTGCATGAGGCTGCTACCTGAACGGAAACTAGAGAAAACTATGTTCAGAAGAACTGAGATGATGTGGTAGGGAGTGTTCAGGGTTATCCCAAGCTGCTTGTTTGGTCTTTAGCTCAAAGGAATTGAACATCGTGACCTCATAAAGTGGGGAGTTACCCTAACCATTACAGTTACATGCTCACTCAAAATTTGAGAATTCTACCTTTGAAAAAGAAGAAGAAAAAAGCTAAAACTGAATTAAAAAGTGGGATTGATACCAAACCATGATTGCCCCCATCATGCAATGAAGATGATGTAGTGTGCCTACTTGTGACTGGACTAGCATGAGCGGTGTGGGTACAAGTCACTTGAACCAGGAAATGTGGATCATTCCTTGGAGCGTGCCATGTAGATATAGCTAATACAGCAAATTATTACCAACCCCGCCAGGGTCCCTTCAAGCAAAGTACAAAACAGATAAGTAATGCTCCTCTCTAGTAAACTTTAAGAAAGACAAAAGCTGATGTTTTCCTTATAGTTCATAAAAATATTTATTGATTTTAAAATGAAATATGTCTCACAGGGATGTTCACAAAATGCTTTCTGATTTTTCTTAAAGTTTTATTCCAGCGTGATTATGAACTAGATAATTTAATGGTTGAAGCCTCAGAGCATGCCATATTTCCTGAAAATTATCTCTTGATTACTTAGAGTTTTCTTTTTTTGGATGCCAGAATCAAGATCTGTGATGGATTCTGCAGAAGATCATTTCAAGAAAGTCATTCATAATGATGCAAATGAGAATGCTAGTAATGATGATAAGGATAGTGAGTGTAGCGACAGTGAGAAAATAGGCTTCATTCCAACAAAGGAAGATAAAGAGAGTGGGAGTACAAGTGACAGTGATGAGGAGGATGAGACCAGCAATAAAGCAGAAGCAGCTATTATGCAGATGCTTAAAGAAGGGGAAGATAAAGAAAAAGAAGCAGAAGACCCAGATTACAGTAACGCTTACAGTATCTCGACCACTGAAGAAGTGACACAGCAGGCGTCACAAACTGAAAGCAAGGACTTCAGAGTTCTCCAGCACGAACATGATTCCCAAAGCCCTGGTGAGGAGCTGTTATTAGCTTATGCTCGTGTCTGTGGCTTTTATTGCAGTGTCTTACCTTTTGGCTCTTTTGTAATTGATAAGCTATGGTTATATGGTTCTATCAATAACTATGTATGTGGTTATTTTAGAAATAAGAAAACATCTTGAATTTCTGAAGAAGTTGAGGCTATACCTTTGGACATCCCTATCAAGAGCTCAGTAAGTACAGTGGGGTTAATGGAAAGAAATTTAATAAATGATAATAAAAATAGTTTCTTTGAACTAAGTAGACATCACAGTGTAGTACCCCTTAAAGAAAGAAGCTATGTGGTCATCACCTAGGTTTGTGGAAAACCAGGAGACCTAAGGCATGCTTAGGATTTTATACTTCCTGCAGCCACATGAAGGAAGATTCCTAATATAACAGAAAGTCTGCACAAAGTGTAGTGATTGTCTACACGTTTTAGGAACTACAATTTTAACTATTGCTCCTTATTCTTTTTCAAATTCTCTGTCGTGCTTTTCTTGAGCATGTTTCCTCACATGTTTTAAGGCTACTACTTCTACAGCATTTAAAACAGTTTTCCTACAAAATTTTCCTTTCCATATATACCTTCCGTGTTTTTGCACGTCAGTTCTCATGCATGATCTTCTCATCTCCAGATTCTGATTCCTTTCCCTGCTTGATATGGAAAAGAATTAACAATAGTGCTGTTCACATTGACGGTGAAGTGTCTTCTCTGCATTCTGGAGATGACATGCTAAAGAGATTAGCATTAATTAAAGGCAGACAATTTAAATGTGTAAGACAGAAGTTTACATAGTTTTTGTTCATGGAACACTACTCATTGCATCAGATAACAAACTGGGCCTGTAAACCGGAGGCTATTGACCCCAGCCAGAAAGGAAAGCTGGGTCTTCCCAGGTGTGGATCTAAGGTGATGTGTATCAGGCATTTTTGAAGCCTTGGATGAAGGAGGTAGTTGTCATTGTCGTGATAGTTGTTGATAACCCACTTGCTATTTTTAGCTGGAAACTAAGGCAGGAAGGCTTTCAAAATATATTTTGTGTTTTATCTCCTGTGAGTTATTTCTTGTAGAACAGATAACACTTTCTGCATAAACAGACATGGACAAGAGGTGCCACATAAGTCACAGAAGCCTCAGATGCTACAAAAGTATCCGGAGTTGTAAAGGAGACGATTACTAATACATTCAATAACTGAAAGGATTGCAAGCTACTTAGGACTAACCTTAGATCCAAGGAAGATGGTTTGCTATTGATTTAATTTATACATTTAATGTTTAGTTGATTTAATGAACAAAAACATTTATTTTAAAATCTATTAGTAAGCAAATTTCTTCTGTCCCATGTCCCAGCTTTTCTTGGTGTAATGTTATGTACATGCTATTTCTCCTTTTCTTTCAGGTATGTCAGTCTGTTAAAAGACTTTGTTGAGTCTGAATTCTTTGTGATAGATGGGGATTCCTTACTACTTATGTTTTTAGATGAGGAAACACAATATCTAAACTTCTTCTACCAAATTGAATGCTTCCTGCAGGATTTCACTGAAAAAGGAGCCAAATACGTCATTGTCTTCTTCAAGGTACTGAACAAGTAACACTTGTTTGCTGTTTAAACCACTGCACTCCTTCAAAACCAACTGCTCAGTTCTAATCAGGATTAGGAAACTGTTCATTGTGTCAACAAATGTAACTGAATAATTTCATTGTTTTTATTTCCCACAGGATGCAGAACAGATGTACTTTCCATATCCTCATTTTCTTTTCTTACGTACTGCATTAATAGAACACCTGAGGCATAACACAGGCACCACTGTTCATACAGAATTTTCCAATTGTTTATCATCCAAATGGGAGATTTTCCTGAAGAAAAGCTATCCTTACTTCATCATCGTATCTGACGTAGGACTGACCTCTCTCCAAACAGACTATTTATCTATTTTAATTGCTCATTCATTGTCAGAGAAAATCAACATTGTGCTTGCTTCAGGACAGGAGTATGATATTCTTCGAGTTTATGGATATCATGTTCAGAATGTGTATAAACACAGATTATTTTTTCAAAAGGTAAGTTACACAACTTTGTTGTTGGTTTGCAATAATGGTGTTAGTTCTACTTAGCAGATTTAATTAAAATATCTCAATGAGTATTATATTTTACATATTAAAATCATAAAGCACTGATACGTGGCTCATTTTATGTATCTTTAATCTACTAGCCTTCAAAACCTTAATGGCAAACATTGTGATTGGTGGCAAATTCCTGCCCTGTTCTCTATAGTCTCATTTCAAATCCTTTTTCACTTAAGATATGGTAGTCTCAAATACAGCCTTCCCATATCTTCGGTATCATGTGTCTTAGTTGACTTGTAATATGCCAGACAAGACTAGCATTTAGGCCAGGGATGTGATTTTTAAAGGAGGTTTATTTAGAATAGATGTTTCTTGGAGGCTGAGGATTGTTATATATCTGAATGGTTTCTGTCTGTGGCTAGTAGTCCCTGATGCATTATATCTATTGACTTTTGCATATAACTTTCACTTCTGGACTTCTTAGTATGAACAAGAACTGCGATATGCCTGTGAAAACCTAGTCAGGTACAAAGAACCATTCGTGTGTCTGTATGAACATCTCAAGCTGAGCCTGAAAAGCATACAAAAAGAGGTAATTGGATCTCTTTGATACTTCTTTTTTCTCGTAAGGTTGACTGTCTTCCTCCATTCCTTTACCTGAAATTCTTTCCTAGCCAGAACTGGGGGCTCTCTTCCTTATCCTGGAGTGACACCCTGAGTCTGAGAAGGCCCACTCTTCACAGCAGCTTGAAGCTGTTTCTTTCTTTAAGTTCACTGAAGTAGGATGGTTCAGCTGGAAGCTGATCAGTGGGATGCCATGTAAGGGATGTTTCCATCTTGGCGACTGCCTTTATCTTGTGGAAGATGGGAACCCGCCCGTTCAGCAGAAAACACCATCTGTGGCATAAATCCACCCTTAGCCACTGGGGGGGCCTGCAGCTACTACCCTCCAGGTGTGCTGTGGCCATTGCCTCACCCCCAGGGCAGCAGCTGGCTCCTGAGGGTGGGTGTGGGAGGGTACGGTCAGCAGCGGCGGGCGAGAGTCGCCAGCAGCAACCTCGTCTGTAGAGACATCTCAAAATCTAAACCTCTCTGCTGCAGCTGCCAAGGCTTGCACACTCTGTTAACTACTAAAAGTATTCACAATCTGGGAATTTTTTTTTTTTTAAGAGCTTGATTACAGTTGCAAGGTCTGTGCTTGCATGATTAAAGCGATGGATTCGTTAATCTCATTTTATAATATTTTAACCTTAAAAATTTGGTATTTTTATGTATA